ACTTATGCATAATCTAGTATTTGTTCCACATCAAACTAAAAACTAAACCAGTTTACTTAAATAAACATATCAGTAAAAGTCCTTTTTTACTAACGTACGAGGATGAACGACCCAGAGGTTCTACAGCGCCACTTTGTCCGATATTCATCACAAATCCATCTACCAATTAATTGAAATTTCCGGCTATACCGAGAAGAAAAGTGACTAGGGTAACCTGTACGTTGAAAGTCTTCAACTGTATACACAATAGCATACATTAGTTCAATGTGACGCTCATTCTGTGAGTGAATTTCCTCAAGTCCGCTGGTCCTGAACTGAACCAAGTTCTTTGTGACCACGCTGCATCGTTCTTCACTTGTGGATATCCGTATTAATCGAGTTTACTGCTGGGATGCTAGATGAATTGATTTTATTGTGCAAACCCATACAATTCACCACATTCTTTTATTCCTTCTCAAAATGCGTGCGTGTCCGATTGACCTTAGCGCACCTTTAGTGCATTGTGCGATTTCTTTTCACTATGATCACCTCCATCATCTGCATTCACAGAGCATCGATTCGCAGTTATCGCGAGACATTTTCCGCCAAGGTCGCTCTAATTTTGTACCTGGTCAAGCTTCAAACGGTAGCCGCCTTTGCACTCGTACAGCTTTTTCATAATGCAGCCAGAAGTGGCTTGGAACTAGCGTGTTGAGGAATGCAAGTGTTAAATTTTGGTTTAGCCTATAAAAACACGAAACAGTCGGATATTCTCCAAGATAAGGAACATGATCGATATAAACTATCCAACTTGTTGTACGGTCAATCTTGGTTCCTTAAGAAATAATTGATTTGTATCTGCCCTACTGCTGCTGGTTCAATCCACGATGCATTTTTCGGCGCCGAATTGAATCAACCTCCCTGACAACAATGAGAAAAACGGTAACGATGGACCTACCCGAGTGTTCACATAAGCATAGAGACCAACCCACCTACCTCGATTTTGTGGGGACCATCTTGGCACAATGCCTGTTTGCGATTTATTGTCTCTACGTGAACATGAGTTAAGCCAGCATGCACAAACTGGTCAACATACTGCCAGTTTAGCTTTTAAATACTTTTGTGCAGAAATGACTTATCGAAAAACGTTCCAAGGCGGACTAGTTAAGACGGGTGGAAACATTCGGTGATATTCCAACCCCCTATACTACGCAGCTCAATTAATTTGGAGGATACTCAGCTTTATACCATTACACGAATTCATCAATTTGCGACAAGTATAATCCGGGTTCGTTACTTCCTGGTATGCCAAGGTGGGATTACTCATTTTTCTTCCATACCATCCGTACTCTACGCCCAGCGTTTTCAGTTTAAGTCACTATGCGAAATACAAAAAGCCTAAAATATCCATATCGCCCATCGACGCAAGGACCCGCGCTTCCACCATAATCCTAAACAAAGAACAATAATTTATAACGGGTAAAAAGTGGGCGCTTGACAATTCCCGTGGAATGGATGGAGTTAATACTAAAAAGATCAAAAGCTAAGTGAGCAGTCAGATTTAGCGTCTACCGATTTAACTGCATTGCTGCACACTGACAGTTTAGAATGAGAATTGAATGTGTGCACACAAAGTAATGTTCGGAGCAATACAATTCATATACTCCGTGAGAAAACATCAACAAGTATAGGACGACGCTCACTCGTGTGCGGCATCCTTGGACTGATGCGGTACATAAATTCAGTCTCCCCTGTAGCAGCGTTTAATAAATGTGTAAGAAGTGAAAGTGAGCCCCTTGATTTGTAGTCTTAAGTTGACGCCTGGACATGGAGAGTTATATGGCGCGATGTAAATATTTGGGTGTATCATTCAGACGCCTTGTTAGTACCGTTAGTGTGGGGGAAGAAACAACGCAAGTTGGAAGGACGTTCCATGCATTGCACACACCAAGTGAAAATAAATGCCGGTTCATTCCAATCGGCTATACTGTGTGGTCAGCTTTATCTGGTGTCTTTTCAGAGTGGTATTTTGATTCAGCTTCTGACGACAACCATGTTTCGGATTTCTCAGGATCAAATAAGTCATCATCAAATCGCCACGCAAGCGTCGATATTGTCCACTGTAGACCTCGAGGAAGTTCAATCTCAGCTAGTAAGAGAGATGAGAAAGGCCCTCTACGTACTTAGTCGCCATTTGTTGTGTCATTTCAAATACGGTGAGTTCGTGCTTGTGCCAGGGTTGGCAGGTGTGGATAGGGTATTCTGACTGTGGCCTAATGTACGCGTTGAGCATCTAAGAGAAGTTTGAGGAGCCAAAATGCCCGAATGCTCTGTGCAAAAGGACAAGGCATTGGTTGGCTTTGTTGATGACTTCCCGGTCTGACTTGAACAGCTAAAATCTACTTGTACTGCCACACCTGGATGACATTCACTAGACGCACACTGCAAAGCTTGATCTCCCAGCGGGTACTCACACGTGTATTGACGACGTAGGCTCATTGGCTTACCGTTGATGGCGCTGAAAGGAAGCGGGTTCTGAGTGGCCCATTGGTATACCCTATCAAAATCATCCGGAAGCGCTACGTGCTCACTCAATATTCCGATGGCCCACCATATCTTTAGATCATCAGCGAAGCGTAAGAAATTGGTAGTGATCACTCTCAGAAGGTCGTCTATGTAAATCAAGGATAGGCGAATACGAAGTATTGAACTCTGTGGCACTACGCACTGAAAATCGATAGGATCAGAGATGGCACTGCGAAATTCCACATTCTGATCTCCTTGTATGAAGAAGTCACTTGTCCAGCCGGGAATTTGGTCACCAGTTTCATAGCTCGGAAGCTTGTTGATGAAGATGTGTTGTTTCAGGTGGTCCAAAGACTTTGAGAAATTCAGATAAACTGTGTCAACTCCCACACCGTTTTCGACGGTTTCAGTCTAACTGGAGCAACTAGCGGGTATCTGGTGCAAGACCGGTTCTGGCTGAATCCATGCTGCTCTGGTGCTTTGATTTTGCATCCTTGCAAGTAATTAATGAGCGCTTTGGCAATAAAAGACCCCGTGACTTTTGACAGCACCAGAAGGAGTGTTCTCAGGTAGTAGTTGGCCGGCTCTGCGCGACTTTCTTCCTCGTGAACGGCAGTGCCGATTCTGTTTCCACATTGTTGGAACCCGCAGCTCGTCGAGTCACTGTTGGAAGAACTGAGAGAGTGGAAGCGTCAAATACGATGAAGCTAACTTCAGCGCCTTTGGTCGGGTATTATCAGTACTAGCAGAGGTGCTGGTGGTGTTATAACTTGCGTGAACAGCATAGCTAATGAATTCGTCTTCTGGAAGGTGTATGGGAATCGCTGACATGGGACATTGGACGCTTCTGTTTTAGTTTGTGCCCTTCCACTTGAAGTGCAGAAGAGAGGAATCCCTCGTGGCACTGTACGGAGTTTGTTAACCTCTATAATAGAGCTTGGGGTTCGAGGAGAATGTCTCAGCTAGATCCTGTTGCTATTTTAGCTTATCCTTCAGTACTAATACACAAAATGATTTCGCTGGATGGCATCAGCTTGACATGTTTCGGCACCCGATGATTCTATGCAGTTTCGCCAGGATGAATCACTTGTGAATATACACTTTCGTGTTCTGTTGCTTATGAGTTGTTTTACTCTGCTCGAAGCGATGGTTACTAACCTGTTGAACCGATGAACAAAATTCCTCTGACAATAGAAGGCGTAAACCCACTTGGGATTTTTCGTTAGCTCTAAACAGTTGCGACGTGATGGCAACACCAAACTAGCCGAACGCCTGCTTCAAGAGACCGGTGTTTTGGCTCTCAATTTGCTACACTTCAGCAACATACCCATTGTCATAGAAATTTGTGCCAAACAAATCCATGCTGCACAGCGGCTCGAGTAGAACGGAACTGCTCACCCACTGCGGATTACTATGACATTTTACATCGGATATAGTTGAACTTTGAAATCGATCATCTTATTTCTAAGCTATCGAAGCTGTTATTATTTGGCATACTAACTTATGCCGTAATGAATATTGCAGATGCTACCGATAAACTGTGGTATTCCCTGAATTCCCGGGAAATTCTGTGCAGCTAAACCAAGTTTTAACCACACAGGGGCTTGAATAAACTGAAGGGAGAACGCTTGTTGCAATAGAATGAAGTCCTTCTTCAGCTATTTCACAATGATTGGTGAATGCCTAAATGGTTCACGCTGTGACGCTGTATGAATTTGGCTTTCACAGACAGTTCACACATTTTTCGTCAACACATGCTGTCGCCTCACAAGAGCACTGATTAAGCAGTTTAACACTGTTGGCATAGCGCCTTCGAACAACTTGCAGAGCTTGGAACCAAAGAAACGTGAAAACTACGCCCAGAGTAGAGCGTTCGTGAACATTCCTTATGAAACTGGTTATGTTAGGCAAGTATTGTGGTCTGTAAATTCAGAGTAGGCCATGCTTTGAACCATTAATTCTTTCACATGATACAAGTTAAGCCACAATCAGTCATTCAATATCGATGTAGTTAAAGCATCAATTGAGCATTATACATGCGTATACATCTTTGCTATAATCACAGATACTGTGTCTAGCAGTGCATTTGTGGAATTTAATCATCGACTAACATTTCCTTTGATTTCACCGTGAACCGAAACTGACCAACAGCCATTTGTCAGCCATTTGTGATGATCCTTCGTTCCTTAGCCATTCATACCTTCGGTCGTGAACGGCAGCGAAGTTCGATTCTAGTTGGTTCGCATTCCACCTCTGGCTCACAATATTATTCCCACAGTATGTTATTTGCTACTGTGTATCGACACTAGGTTTGAACTAGAACATAAGGGAGCATCTTCATACGTTCGTAATTGAATAGACCTTGGTAAAATCACTTTCGCAAATACATCATAACGGGAGAATACGGCCAACTTCGCTCATATGGTTTGGCAAATTCGCTGATGTACATTTCGATATCCATTATCTATGTATATTCGCCTGCATTCCCCTTTCTAGCGAGCTTCGTCATCATGCAATTTGGTCGCGTTGCAGAAGACGTATTCACCATGGACTACGCATATCCAATGTGCGCCCTCCAAGCTTTCGGTATTGCCTTATCCTCCTTTGATGGAAAACTCGCATGCGAGTAGGATCCAGTCACTTGGAGGCCTCCAATTGCATGAGTGCTCTGATCCACACGATAACGTTTCCAGCAGACCGAACAGCCAACCCACAGAGTTGTGGCGGCCACACTGTGATCATGTTAACATGCATTTTCTGATTCCGCACTGGGTACAGTGTTCAAAGCATTCCCCGTCCCTGACCGCGGTCTCCAACTCCAAGAATACCAAAGCATATTCAATAGGCGTTGTCTCCATTGTATAGTCCTTGTTGATGTCATCGTGCCTCCTGCGCCCAATCATCTAATTACTCATTTTGCTATTCCGGTTGCACCACACCAATGATTCAACACGTCATATCAGTTTTCATGATGAATACCATCTCTCTAACCTGAATGTTCCATCTGTCACGTTACTTGATCCACCACGTATTCTACTATCTATGCAATTAGTTTGTTTCTCATAAGGGATTCGGTCGTTGACAGCAAATTCTGCCCCACCCTTGCTGATTAAGGAAGCACCAATTTTGTGTAGTGTAAAGACACCGGAGTTTGATCCTTTCTTGGATTAGTTGCATGTTCCAGTTTGCCTAGTTTGCGTAAACGCCCTGACTAGTCGGTTTGTTTGGTTTCCACTAGCTGCGTGTCAAGCTTGCATGCGGACGACTTTGGGACACGATGGCATGCAACAGCTATTTCAGTTCTGATTCCTGCGCGTTTGCAGCAGATTACAGCTGCGTCATGATTTATTCGGTTGCGCTTATTTTCTTAAATCTGAAAGCTGCATACTGTGTCTAGCATTCGCTTGAATTCCGACACCGATATCGCCAAGACTACGTTCTCCTACAACATGTTCAATATTTCAGCAGTTACCACTGAAAAGCATGGAGGTTGAGCTATCCGCTTTAGGCACGGTACCAATAGCTTATACCTGTGCCCGCGAGTATTTCTTAGTGCGCACATGTGCAGCATGGGGAATCGATTCAGAGGAAATATTCAGTGCATCAAATTGAGGTCAACCGTAAACCGACGACACGACAGGATGCACAACCCTAGTCGTCCGCATCGGTCTTCACACGACATACCCAGTAAATTGGGGATGAGTGTGGTGGCTAGATACTGAACCCGTTTGAGTCTCTGCCCCGAGTGCTCGGACAATAGGCGGATTACTCGTACTCGAGTACCGGTCTTAGAGAAACCGCCAGAAAAGGCGAGTGGCAGAAGCTGCGTTTTGGCACCCAAGCCTATGCACACCGCCTCTAAATAATTGTTTTTGTTTTATCTACAGACTTCAAATTGTGGTGTGTGAGTACGCTGTGATAGAGAAATTGTATATGACGGGGATAAAAGCGCATGCTTGACATCTCTCGTAGGATGGTTAGGGTGAAAATTGGAAACTTACAAAAATATCGGTGTCAGTAAAAGATCGTGTGAGGTACGTAAGTCACAAATCTTTTGGAGTTCACATGTGCTAGTGTTGCTGCCAGGAGTTTAGGATGGTTTTGACACCGCCCACTGTTTGTTGTTCATTGATGTCATCATCTGATGAGCATAGGCTATATCACGTAGTGTACACGTGTAAGAGTATCGTCAAAGTGTTTTCTTGAAGAACGTTCCAGGGTTGTGACACTTGGAGAAAACGTTGCGTTGACATTCCAGTAGGCCGTACTGCGTGGTCAACTGAAACTGAGGACCCCTCAGACAAATGTTTTGACTGAGTTTCAAACGAGAGTGACAAGTGTGTTTTGGGTTTTTCAGGATCTGATACACCATTATGGGACCGCTCCTTAGACGCCGATATCGTCCGCTGTATAGTTTGATAGTTTCCAGTCTGAGTTGGAAGGGAAGGCTGGACAAACCTTTGACGTTCTTCGTCGTCCTGCGTTGTGCCGTATCGGGCGCGGTGAGGTGGTGCTTCTGCAGGGCAGCCACACTTGAACAGCGTATTCCGTATGAGGCCTCACGTACTCGCCAAGCATTTTCGGAAACATTGAGGCGTCACAATTTCCGAACGCCCTACAAAGAAGGCCAATGTATTGGTTTGATGTCTTGGATGCCTTGCAGCTTGCCTCAATCAATCGAGGTCCTCTTGGATGAGCACACCAAGATCGCACTCATGAGAAGCCCCCTGTGGTATTTGTGGTCCAAGGCGGTAGTTGTGAGTCCTGGTCTTGGAGCACGACTTCGTATCACAATGCACTTTAGTCTGCAGCTTTGTGAAATGTGTACACATTGTTTTTGTTGTTTCAGTGTCCCAAAGCATGCGATACTTCAGTTATGTTGGCAACTTTCAATCGCGGAAGTTGTGGGATGCAGTGTGTGGCCGAGCAGGGTGTACGTACGCCCATCACCATCGTTCATCTTGCTCATATATACAGTATTCCATACTCAAGAAGTGATGGTGTTGTTTTGTTAACAATAGCTAGTCCATAATGCCATTTGTATGCTTTAGGTACCTGGTTCTCTAAAGACACGCCTGAGATGGTAGTACATTCCACAATGGGTCTTGGTTGAACAGCACGCTTTCATGTATTTTTATCCTCGCGGTGCACTATACTATAGTTACTGGCGGGATCCATGCGGTTAGAAGCCACTGCTGTGGAAAAAAAGGATATTTTGTAAAGAACTGCACAATTTTAAAGAAATTTTACCAACGAAACCATATCCTGCATATCTCATGAGCGTAGGTGACAGGACAGAGCTTTTTCCTGTTTAGAACAAAGCAGGGCGATGAATCCGGCTGACGTAACTAATTCGGGTGGCCGGGTTAAAAGCATTTCGCATTCTGCCAGCTTGCAGTTAACTTTGAGCGATAGCCATCAAATTGGAATTTTGGAGAAGCTAGGTTTATGAAAACTGACAAACAAGAAGGCAATTAATCAAAATACATCGAATGTTAATGGCCAGTGGTCAGAGTTCGCTCTTTATCGGACCCCATACAAATCATGTGTGGTGTGCCGCAAGGCTCAGTTCTAGGTCCACGTTTGTTTTTGGTGCTTATTAATGACCTTGCATAGTAAATCGCTTCAACCTTCCTAGTGTTTGCCGACGATATCAAGTTTTGTCGCAGGATCCAGGTGAACACTGAGCAGCATCTGCTTTAGAGAGACCTAGATACGGTATATCATTGGTCAACCCAAAACTTACTACATTTTAATGCCAGTAAATGCAAGGTACTTTCCATCCGTCATCAGTGCAGCTACTCATACCGGTTCAGAACGAATATAGTGCAACAATCAAGTGTCGAACGTGACTTGGCTGTTCTTATTCACGAAGATTTGGGTTGCTCCGGGCGATCCGCGAAGGTCTCGAAGACTGGAAACCAGCAGGTCCGGCTGTTGCGACGGGCGTTTGGACAAATAAACAGCTCAATATTTCGACAAATGCTCAGTGCGTATGTTTGCCTCATGTCGAATACGCAGTTCAAGCCTGGCATCCATTGTTGAAACACGATTTTAACGCACTGGAGCCGTGACAACGTCGGGCATCTAAGAACGTACTTGCAATGGGCACTCTTTCATACCCTAAGGGCACCGGTTCAAATCCGCGTAGGGGTGGGCGTGCTCGCGGTATACTCAGCCCGTGCGCGACTGGTGGTGGTCGCGCGGCAGCGAAGCGCTGTTACGGCGTACAGCTGACATGTTCTTATTCTTATTCTTATTAATACAAACAGAGGCTGCAACGATTTGAGGTATTCAGCGGTAGCTATCGCAGACTAAGAGGCGACCTGATTATGGAATATTTATTCTGCAAGACCCAAATCATGTGTGACGCACTTTACTGCGACTCAGCACCAATACAACACTGAAGGGTCAACCAATGAAACTCGCAGAACAGTATAGACGTCTAAAGTGCCGCAGAAATCTTTTTCGTTTGTTTCTGTCACCCGTTGAGTGCTGTCCCAGATTCGGTCGTCTCTGCACCGACACTACCAGTATTAAACTACACTTGGATGATGCACTCATCCACTTACACTTTGTCACTTAGCACTACGTCTCCATCCCACTGCTGGATTTTACCAGGCTTTTATTTGATGTTAACTGTGGGTACTGTGATTCTAAGCGGATTGCGGGACTACTGCGGAGCAAATGAGAAGTCCTTCCTTTCAGGTTTAAAGCACCATTTCGCTATCATGTTATTATTATTATTACTATTTCGATAACCCCACCAACTATAATACAAGACTTGTAAAGCAACGCTTCTTATCCCGTGTAAATTCCTTGTTCTTTGTTCAAACCGAGTTCACGAGCACTACTGATCTTAAATTTGATTGACTCGGCGACTGGCAGTGAGGAGGATGACAAACCGATTTCCCTGTATTTGATTATCATGACGAAAAAGGTGCAAGCCGAGTACTTCAATTTGAACATGTTGAAGTCAGTGGTAATTAGTTTGATACCTTGATGATTTTTTCAATCTGCTCAGGAGCTCTCGAAAGCGTAAGCAGTTATTGAACAATAGCTAATCTGATGACACCTTTCCAATGTGTCCCATGATGTTTAAAATTGCGGTAAGCTCATACCGTGAGGTTGCATCACTAATGTTCAGCACTTACCTGAGGATACAGTACTGTTCCAGTGTACTAACGTAGTCCATATTGGTTTGCATCCAATGCTGGTCTCACATCGGAATCCTCAACGTACCTAAGTATTAAAGGATGTGGTGCTTAGAGTCGCGTAATCGAGCTACTTATGAATTGTTCCAGATAACCCTTTTGTCGGTATAGTAGCGGTATTGCTAATTCTGCATCCTCTGCTCCAATTTTCACATAAATATGTCATGCTTGCGCACGAGCATCGAATAATTGAAGGCAAGGCTTTGTCGTTCACAATATGGCCAAAACGGTTCGATAGCGAAAAACGTGCATCAAAAACACCAAATAATCTAGTACTCAATTATGATCAGCCGAAAGAACTGCTTGGGTTCTGATTTGTTTACCGGAATGGGTTTCCTCATCAATCCAGTTAACATCTAGAGTGTGTCAACACAAGTCTCGATATTCATACTGATATTTATATTTATATTTATACTGTACTTCTAGCAAACCCGAGGACGAATGAGAGTTGACCTGACTGGACATTACCTACGCTTTATGTCTTACCAATCGAACTTCACCTGAATTTACTGCCACATATTTTCCAGAATCTGTGTTAGTGCATAAGAAGTTACGTACTTTATGCCAACGAATTTGGTGATAAATTCGCAAAATGTTTTTGTAGGATTTCTTTTGCTT